AGTTCACCAAGCCAGTGTGGGATATAAGATAACAAGAGGATTGCCACACCTTTTCAGTCGTCCAGGTCCCAAGTGTCCTTGGGGTTACTGGCAAGCGGAACCTCTTCTTAAGCCCCTGGATTATGGGAGAGTGCTTTCACTTTAAGTATTCAAAATGGTCAAGCCACTTGTAAACATTCAAAATGGCTATGCCCTCCGGACAGGCAAAAGTCCACAGCTCAACCTGCCTTCCTCTTCGCTGCCACTTTGCCTTTTATTCCCTAGCCACCAGAGCAGTCCTCTGTGCAGTCCCTTGCTAGCAGGGCTGGACTTTTGGTTAATTCTTAGGTCCTACCACCACTCAGCATTCTCCAAACTGTCTGTTCCGTACCATCAGGATCGCTCAGGAACGCTGCCAGACTGCAGCTCCGTATATCTCCTTTTTTGGTATTTTCATGCAAATTCTTTTGCTAGTTGGGGTTTAGTCCATTTCTATATCCTTCCCTTCAAGGCTCAGGGTTCCAGGATTGTCATCTGTGTCTGTGTTAATTGGTTCCCCTTTTCTTTGTTGAAGAGGGTCTATGCAGTCTTTCTGCCTATCCCACCATATTACCGGAACTCTTTAAATGCTTTTTGATGAAGAAAAACCTTAAGTTCCTTGTTGCTGTTGTTATTTGCCGTGGAGTCATCTCTGATTCAGAGAGACCCCCTCCTTGGTTTTCCAAGATAGTATCTCTATGGAAGTAGATTGCCCAGCCTTCCTTCTGAGGAGTTACTGGTGGGTTTGAACCGCCAACCTTCTGGTTAGCAGTCAAGTGCCTTAGGCACTATGCTACCAGAGCTCCCTTTAATTTTTTTTTTTTCTTTTTTATGGAAGTGGGTTCCCCAGTGTTCCTTCCGAGGAGTGGCTGTGGGTGTGAATCACCAAGGTTCTGGTAAGCAATCAATACCTTTGGCACTATGCCACCAGAGCTCCTTACTTAACTTCCTATCCTAGATACTAAAATTTTATAAAATGATAGAAATTTAGAGTGTGGTATTATCTAGTATAGGAATGATATCAGTGAAACATAATATGGAGTCCAGAAACAAGGCACTGTATGTGGGAATCTAGTATATATAAATAATCATTTAGAATTGGGCATTAAAAAAAACATTTATTCGTTGTCTTGTCTTTATGATACAGGATTCATTTTTTAAAAATTATTGGTACTGTTCCGTGTCCTTATGCAATCATATTTTCATATTTCATATTTCTCATATTCACGTTTATTCTTGTTTTTCAGGCAATATGTTTGCAAGTCTTAATGAAAATGTGAATTAGAGTGCCTTTTAATTAGGGACCATTTACCCTGAGTTCTCAGATTGCTACCACTGTTTTAAAATCACTTAGGCTTTTATTTGCTTTACAGTGCCTTGCTCTTTTATATATGCATCCTCATAGATGATAATTTGATTTTCTAGTACTGGTTATTGAATTCTAAAAGAGATTATTTGGATCACTATTGAAATATTTCAGTTGCAAATAAAAACATGACCAATTAGTTTTATTTTAATTTTCTTTTCCAACTTAAGGATTCAGTAATTTCTCCATAATAAATAATAATAGAACGTAGGGATTGAAAAACAGCTAAACAGGCAAGTGTTTTCTACTACTGTCCATAAAATCTCTTCCTGCTTTACAATCCTGAAGCTGTTAAGACAGCATCTCTCAAACTTGTTTACTGGCAAAAGGTGGTTTCTGCTGTGTCCCCCAGTGAGATTCCATGCCCTCTCACTGGCATTTGAAATCTACAAGTATTCAGGCCTGCAGGTTCTGGCAACAAGTCTGAGATTGGATAAGTGACGTGATTTATCTTCCACAAAACAGGTCCAAAGACAACTCTTCTGTCCAGGCCCTGTTCTAATTCTGTCTGGGAGGTAGGAGAGAGGAGGGCTTCACAAGTCAAAAAAACTTATTTTAGTAGTTTCAGGAGGTGTTTAATAAAATGAAAATGTTCTGAAATCGGAGTCTAGGTTGATTTTTCCTTTGAAGGTTCTTTGTTGAAGGAGAGTATGGGACAAGCAGCAGTGGTTGAGTAGCAAAGATTGCAACCGTTAGTTGTCTATGGAAATGTTGTCAACATACTGAATTACACTGTTCTTCAGATTTATATGTCGTGTTCAGAAAACTTTGGAACCTGATATACTAATGTTTTCTAAATACTTGAGATCCAGTTTTTGGCTTTATGTCAGGGTAAAACATTGTATACTGCAAAGAATGTTCAGGAAACCACGAGACTACAGTCCTTGTCTCAGCTGAATAGGTCAGGAGTATTGCTAGCCTGTCATCTTTTTGGCTTTTCCCATTAAATGTAAAATAATGGAGGAAACCAAAAGGTGTTTTTTTTTTAATTGGATTTTTCTGTGATTTTTATTTTTTGCTCCTGTTGTTAAGCGTCTATTTTTTGTAATTACATAAAATGTAGTATATCCTGTTTTTGTAAAGAATGGAAAACATTCCTTTGCTGCCTGATATAATAAAAACTTCCTATGTTAAGGGATGACAATAACTTACTCTATTTAAAGTTCTAAAACAATACAATAAGAAAAGATGAATGAAAGTATTGTGAGTTTGGCTATGATAAACTGGAGCCTATAATGGACATGTACACCTGACTGGTACAGTCAGGTATACATGTAACAGGAGCTCTGGTAGTGTAGTGCCTAAGGCACTTGACTGCTAACCAGAAGGCTGGTAGTTCAAACCTACCAGCCACTCCTCAGAAGAAAGGTTGGGCAATCTTCTGCCGTAGTGATACCGCCTAGGAAACCCAAGGAGGGGTCACCATGAGTCTGGTCCGACTCAGCAGCACATAACAACAACATACCTGACTGTGTCTACAATTTTAGATGTAAAATGGGTTTATTAATAACATTGCCTTTTACTTGCCAATCTTCAAAGCAAAGAAATAACCTGCCCCTTTCCCCTATTTGATTATTATTGATTTGCTTAGATCCTTCCCCCCTCCAAAAGAAGTCCTTCAGTTTATCAATTCTATTTTTAAAATAATATAATGGTTCTAATGTATAAATTCTACTTTAATCACTATTAATTTGTTTCTCATTCTTTGCATGGATTTGTCACTTTCTACTTCATGACCTGAAAATGTTTTCCCTTTATTTTAGTTCTTTTTTGTTTAGGTACAGAGGGGTTTTATGTGATGTGAATTTATCTTATAGTTAAGCTTTGGTCATAGCTTATTAGTTTTGATTATAAAATGCCATAACTAGTATTAGTCACTAAGTACTTTATAATTGCAATTTTGATTTATTAACTTCAACGAAGAGTCATTTAAGAGGATCATAATCTTTTTAAATCATAGCAATAACAACAACAACAAATGTCACTTTAGTTGCTTGTTTTGCCTTTTATTTCATTATGCTTAGAAAATGTGGATGAAGTTATTTATATTTGTTAGAAGCTATTAAATTTTTTTGTTACCTAATATATAGCAGATTTTCTAAGTGATACCTGGTGATTTAAAAAAACATCTTTTTCTCTGTACTCACTGCCGTCCATTCAATTTTGACTCATAGCGACCCCTCCTTGGGTTTCCAAGGCAGTATCACTAGGGAAGTAGATTGTCCCATCTTCCTTCCAAGGAGTGACTGGTAGGTTTGAACTTTCAGCCTTCTGGTTAGCAGTCAAATGCCTTAGGCACCATGCCACCATACCCTTGCCAAGCTTTCCTTCATTTGAAGTTAAAAAGTGTATATGAGAGTTCCTGAAAGATCTAATGACCCTGGCATTACTAACAATATACTGCAGAAATGAATTTGACCTTTGTTACTGACAAAAATTTCCTTTGTGTACAATCTCATTGTATTGAAAGTAGAGGATGATATTTTTCAGTAAATACTATCTGACTTTAAAATTAATTCTGTGAAAACTAGTAGAACTGATTAATGGAAAATACATTTTCACTTTAATTGGGTAACTGAAAACAAAATCGTTTTATATTACAATGACATAAAAGTCCCTAGTTCCATAAATATTCCCTAGAGCCTGAAACCTACAATTGAAAACAATATCAATAAGTTTATTAGCTTATCATAAATATGTTGATTGCTCAGTAAAAATAGGAATGAAAGTGAAAATCCTTTGATTCTTACAAATACTAGAGAGATTGTCACTTAAGGGAAGTATCATCTACATTATTCGTTAAGATGTATCATACAAAATGGTTTCACTAATCATAAATAGTATTACTTGATGTAATGTATAATACTCTTTTAGTGGAAAACTTTGAGTTTTCCTTCTTTGAAAGGTTTGCACCTCACACACGTTTGAGCTTTTACATCTTTTACTGTAGTACAAATGCAAGGTTTTTTTATAAATTGTTATTTTAATGATATAGAAGAATTTGTCATTTAAAAAGCTTTTTTATTGACTCCATTTAAATGTAAACTTACTGGAAAAAACAGATTTTTCTACACCGTTTTTTGTTTTGTCTTTTTCTTTTTAAGAAAGATAAGCATATAGGAAGAAGTACTTCACAGTACTTGAGCTCTGAATTCAGGTTACCTGTATTGTGTCCACCTAGCTGGATGACCTTGGGCAAATTACTGATCCTTTAATTGCTTCACTTAGGAAATAGAAATGGTAACAGATACTACTTTATCGAGTTGTTGTGAAGATTAATGGAATAGTAAGCATAAAATCCTTAATATGCTATTTAGCAGAGGAAGTTCTTAATTAAATGTTACTACTCCTCGGAAGGAAGGTTGGGCAATCCTACTTCCGTAGTGATACTGCCTCAGAAACCCAAGGAGGGGTCGCTATGAGTCGGGCTGACTCGACGGCACATAACAACAACAACTACTAGAATTCTCTGGTAACTTATATGCTCAATAAATATATATTTTAAATAAAGTTAATAAATCAGTATCTTTATAAAGAATATGAGATATGCTTTTGTTTTTATGTTTACATTATAGATAGTTTTCCTCTAATTTATTTATTTTTTTTTGTTTTTCAGGTCACATTTCATATAGAGCCATATAGCAATCGAGATGATCAAAACATGTACAAAAATGTCAAATACATTATAGACAAGTAGGTTTCTTCAGTATAATCACTGTTATGTGATATTATTACTGTTATAAGAAAAAATACTTGTAAATTATATTTGAAAATTTTTAATTTATAATATGCTATGTTTAATAAAATGAGTTTAAACTGCTTTATAGTGAATGTCACAACCATTTGGGAGAGAACATTGCTGAACTCCTTACTGTTCACTTTCTATATTAATGGTTAAAGATAGCTATTTGTTTACTGTTTTGCATATTAAATAGACTATGACTTTTGTCATATTGACATTTTAAAACGGTATTTCTTTAAATCTTACGAATCTTGACTTTTGTCTTTTAAAACAAAGCTTTGGAGTATGAGCTGCTTTTATAGCAGTGGGCCCACATTTAATGTTTTATTTATCTTTGGTCTGATTACAAGGAAATAATTTACTAATACCGTTTCATTTTGTTAAAGGATTTTGTTGATAATAGTTTGTGAAAGATGCTGTACTTTTACAAAGAATCTTGTTGGCAGTAATGGGACATTTATTACTGATACAAAAAGCAGTTTATATATTCATGTAGAAAATAATGGGCTTTTTATGGCATTAGTCATCATCTGTAAACCTCAAAATGAAAGAATTAATTTCTTGTTTGGTAATGTCTTAATGTACCCAGTATCTCATTTTCCAATTTGTAAAATTAAAAATTCATTTTTAATGATTACAGTTATGTAATGTAGTCCCCAAAGAAGGTGAACAATGTGCTTAAACTGCACTGATTACCTTTATTTCAATACATAAACAGTTTTTGTCTATGACAAGTGATTTGTGAATATTCATTTTGCTTTTACATATGCTTGTGTTTTAGATATGGAAATCATCCAGCCTTTTACAGGTACAAGACTAAGACCGGCAATGCTCTTCCTATGTTTTATGTCTATGATTCCTATATCATTAAGCCTGAAAAATGGGCCAATCTGTTAACCACCTCGGGGTCTCAGAGTGTTCGCAATTCTCCTTATGATGGATTGTTTATTGCACTTCTAGTAGAAGAAAAACATAAATTTGAAATTCTTCACAGTGGTTTTGATGGAATTTATACATATTTTGCCACAAATGGTTTTACTTATGGCTCATCACATCAGAACTGGGCTAACCTAAAAGCCTTTTGTGATAACTACAATTTACTGTTTATCCCAAGTGTGGGCCCAGGATACATCGACACCAGCATCCGTCCCTGGAACACTCAAAACACTCGGAACCGTGTCAATGGGAAGTATTATGAAGCTGCTCTGAGTGCCGCCCTGCAGACTCACCCCAGTTTAATTTCTGTCACTTCTTTTAATGAGTGGCATGAAGGAACTCAGATTGAAAGAGCTGTTCCCAAAAGAACTAGTAACACTGTATACCTAGATTACCGACCTCATAAACCAGGTCTTTATCTAGAACTAACTCGCAAGTGGTCTGAAAAATATAGTAAGGAAAGAACAACTTACACATTAGATCACCAGCCACCTGTTTCTTAATGCATTGAACAAAGTATAATCATTATTGAAATCACCTAATTTCAATAAATGGCTTTTGTTTTGCGTTATAGAAAGAAAATTCAATCAGTATGCACTCTTACTGTAATCTTTAATAAAAATAATTTGTACTTTTTATAGAAAATAGTAACATTGTCATTGCCACTTTTCACAATGCTGCACTGAGAAAAATATCTGAGAGAAGAGTTGTGCAAACAACATTCCCTGTGGCATGGTTTGCTGCATTTCTGACTGAAATTGGAATTCTGCTTTGATGGATATTTAATTTTTGATTTCACAGTAGATAAATGACTGTTACAGAAAGCAGCTACCACACAGTTAAATCCTATTTGCATCCTGGGCCCAAAGAAATAGGACTATGTATTTGGTATAGCTATTTAAGAAGGAAGGCCTAAAATAGCTAATGATTTTGTGATAGTGTACTTTTTTTTTTTTTATTCTCAATGTTTCAGTCATCATTATTATATTAGTGTTCAAACTTTGGATAACTCTCCAGTAATGATAAACATCTTAAGAAAAATATTATATACCTTAAACCTTATTGTGAACCGTTTTATGGGAGAAAGGCCTGCTTTCTGCAGCATAGCATGTATCATTTGCAGATTTTTGGTTATCTATGAAATGCTGGAGGAGCTCTGGTAGCATTAAAGCACTTGGCTACTAACCAAAAGGTTAGGTTTGAACCCACTAGCCACTCTGCATGATAAAGAAGAGGCAGTCTGCTTCCCTAAAGATTTAAACCTTGAAACCCTGCAGGACAGTTCTACTCTGCCCAGTAGAATGTCTTGTAAGTCAAAATTGACTCACAATATCAGTGGATTTTTTTTTTCCTCTTTTTTGATTTATAGGATGCTAGGTGTTTTGCAGGAGCTCTGGTGGCATAGTGCCTAAGCCATTTGACTGCTAACCTGAAGGCTGGCAGTTCAAACCCACTAGCCACTCCTCGGAAGGAAGTTTGGGCAATCTACTTCCGTAGTGATACCACCTCAGCAACCCAAGGAGGGGTTGCTATGAGTCGAATCCCACTCAACAGCAGTGAGGGTTTTTTTTTAATTATTATTTTTTGAGGTGTTTTGCATGTTTAGTGCTTTTGCTTTACTATGCTGAATTCCAGATTTTATAAGCTGTGGAAAGTACATCCATAAAAATTGAGTTGGGAGCTCTGGTAGCATCGTGCCTAAGGCATTTGACTGCTAACCAGAAGGCTGGTGGTTCAAAGTCACCAGCCACTCCTGGGAAGGAAGGTTGGGCAATGTACTTCCGTAGTGATACTGCCTGGGAAACCCAAGGAGGGGTCTCTGTGAGTCAGATCTGACTCCATGGCAGTGAGTTTTAGAGTTTCTCAATTTTTATTAAGGCACTCTGATGGCATAGTGCATGAGGCATTTGATTGCTAATCAGAAGGTTGGTGGTTCAAACTCACCAGCTGCTCCTCAGAAGGCAGATGAGGCAATCTACTTCCATAAAGATTTACAGCCTTGGAAACCCTATGAGCCAGTTCTGCTCTATCCTGTAGGTTCACTATGAGCCAGAATCAACTCTAGACTTGGGCTTGGTTTTCCTCAGTTATTAGGAAAACATAGTATTTCCACAATTATAAAGGTATAATACCCAAACTATTGCTGTCTTTTTAATGTTACCTTGTCAGTCTTTTATATATTAGTATTTAACTCTTTAAGTTTAATGTTAACCAGAGACCATCTGTTAGATGAGAAGAGAAAGTTGATACTGTCATCTTTGGATTGAACTGCTTTCTAAAATACTTTTAGTTCATTTACCAAAATAATAAATTTACTCACCATTTTAAATTTTAGGAACATGAAACTGGAAGTTATTTTGTGTCTTAGTTAGTCACTCTAGAATTTGGCCTTTCCTTAAGTTTACCATGTAATAATGATGAAAATAGTATTTCATTTATAAGACAATACTTCAAATTTTTAAATATGCTATAATCCATATTTTAAAACTCTGTACACTCAGGACTGATTAAGTTGAAATATTGATGATCAATAATTGTCTGTCATATGGTGAAAAATTAACCACCAGCCACTCCTTGGAAGGAAGATAGGGCTGTCTACTTCCGTAGTGATACTTACTGCCTCGGAAACCCAAGGAGGGATCGCTATGAGTTGGGTCCAATTTGATGGCACATAACAACAACAACAACAACATGCTAAAAATGTATTTCTTAACGTTATTATTAAAACTAGAGAATAGCACAGTGTACTCTATTATTAGTTTATATTTACAACTATGATTACAATGAAACCCTATTATATATTCTGTTAAATAAATATTATTTCTTAGTTATTTAATTATATTAAAGAGAAACAATAGAATAATGCTAAACAATAATACATAAAAATCTTCACAGTATAAAGACATTAATTCAGAAATAAATTGACACTGGAAATTAACATGGAATGGCCCATCAAATGATGAAATTTATTTTTAAATAGTGATTTTTGAAGTAAAAAATGTTGTTGTTGTTATGTACCGTCGAGTCAGCCCCAACTCATAGCGACCCCTCCTTGGGTTACCGAGGCAGTATCACTATGGAAGTAGACTGCCCCATCTTCCTTCCAAGGAGTGGCTGGTGGGTTTGAACAGCCAGCCTTCTGATTAGCAGTCAAGTGCCTTAGGCACTATGCTACCAGAGCTCCCTGAAGTAAAAAACTATACTTTTTAAAAGAGGAGTTTTACTGTTAATTTAAAGTTATTTATTATTCAAGAATTTGCCATTTCTCAGAAAATGATTAGGGCAACAAAATTAGTATGATAATGATAAACTGATTATTTTCTAGGGGAAGTTGTAAGAATGAATCACTGTAATGACATTTTTATATAAGTGAGCATATTTATAGGACCATTTATACAAATACAGCCTGTGGATTTTTTTTTTCCTTTTCTGCAGTTAGCCACTCTATGATATTTTAGGGATAATATGTAATACCTAGCAATCTTACATAGAAAATCATATTTGGTGAAATTTAGAGAAGTACTAGAGAGTACTAGAGTTTTTTTAAAACTTTAAAAAAAAATTTATTGTGATTTGGGTAAAAGTTAACAGGACAAATTGGTTTCCCATTCAGTAATTCATACACATTTTATTTTGTGACATTGATTGCAATTTCCACAATGTAAATAGCACTCTTCTCACTTACTTCTTCCCTGTGTTTACCATTTGCATTCATCCTTCTTTCTTATCCCTTCCTCCCTTCTGAGTTTTATTCCTGAGCAAATGCTGCCCTTTCATCTCATATGGTTGTTTGTTCTAGGGAGTATGTACCTCCCTGGTGTTTTATTATTCACTGTATAGGTCTTTCTGTTGTTTGGCCAAAAGTTAAGCCATGGCCTAACAAATGTCTAAGGGCCTTAGTCTCAGGGGTTCTACCCATCTCTGTCAGACCAGTAAGCCTGTTTTTTTTTTTTTTTTTTTAATTACTATTTTGAGTTTTGATCCATATTTTTTTCCCACTCTGTGCAGGACCTTCTATTGTAATTCAGAGCAGTAAGCACTGGTAGCTGGGCACCATCTAGTTCTTCTGGTCTCAAGGTCGTGGAGGCTGGAGTTCTCATAGTTCGTCCATTAGTCCTTTGTCTCCTATAGTCTTTAATTTTCTTCACTCTCTTTTGCTCTGGGCGGTGAGAGATCAGTAGTTGCAGCTTACATTGCTGCTTGCAAGCTTTTAAGACTCCAGTTGCTACTCACCAAAGTAGGATGTAGAACATTGTCTTTGTGGATTACATTATACCAATTGACATTAATATCCCCTGAGACTATGGTCCTGGGCCCCAGAACCAGCAACTCATTCCCTCAACATTTGATACAGCTAAGAAGTTTTCATAACTTTGCCCTTTGCCCAGTGTATGCTCTACTGTAGTCATGCATGTATTTGCAGTACATATAAAAACATATATAGAAATGTCCTCTTTCAAACTTATGTCTATATTTATGAGTATAATCCTATTCATCTTCCCACACCTGTTCAGCTTGCATATCTATTTATGTACCACTTGTAGAGTATTGTTACTACTGTTGTTGCAGGATTTACACAGGAATTTTCTCATTGCCTATGTTTTACATGGTAGAAAATTAATTTATAAAATATTCTAAGCTTAAGAGAAATTGTACAAAGATAGGATCAGCAAGTCCTCTACATAAATACACCACTCTTTCTGTACTTCTCCCATGTAGTAGTGGATCATTCCTTACATCAGACATTAATTCTGAACTTTGTGGTGGTTCCTAAAATCGTTACTCCAACCAGTAGCAGTAAGTAGCATTTCCAAGTAAGATGAAACGTTCTTGATTGTGGAAAGTTATTCTTAAAGGAAAAACTCTAGTGGAACAGTGGTTAAGCCCTCTGCAGCTGACTGAAAAGTCAGTGGTTCAAACCAAAAGTGGCTCCTCAGGAGAAAAGATTTGATGAAATTCTTCTATAAATATGTCAGCCTTGGAAACCCAGTGGGGCAGTTCTACTCTGTACTACAGGGTCACCATAAATCAGAAATGACTTGGCAGCACACAACAACATTCTTCAAGGGAAAAATGAAATCTGTTCTCGCAATGGTTTAGTTGTTTATATATACATATAAATATATATGTGTTTTCCTTTTTAGAAATAATTCTTAGGAAAATCTCTCTCTAATAATTTTGTTAATTCTTAGTGAGGAATCTTGAAATCTTCCTCATATATTGATTATAGCTGCCTTTACAATTTGACTTGTAACACAGTTTAGATCATTTTGTTCACAAGAAAATATGAGCAAAGAATTAATTCTTAATTTAAAAATCTATTGTTGAATTCAGTATACTTTAAAAAAAGTAATATAATAGATGCAGCATATGAATTACAGTGTATTATTTTATAAGTTGTTCATCTTTATGATTTGATCATTATAATTTTTTAAACAAAACCTTTACTGCTCCTTTAAGAATTAATATTGTTAAAAAACTGCTGTTATTGATGATTATCTAAGTTGTATGTTAATTTTTTTCCTGTGTTTTTTTAAAAAATGTTTAATTAAACATAGTGACTATTTTGTAATATAGTGTAAACTTTGATCTAATGAAAACATACATTAAATGTAGTACATCTTAGATATAAAAAATCTATTTCTTCATTTCTATTTAGGAAATTTGTTCTATTTAATCTCTGTTTAATAGATGAAAAGTAGTATTCAGTAGGTACTCTTTATGTATTTTATTTATTGAGCATGTGGCATTTATA